TTTCGTACTTTGTACTTTTGCATCTGTGTACGTATGTCAAGTCTATTTGCGTACCTGCGTGTCAAGTTCAATCGGTTGTTCTGTCGAACTGATTTTATGAAGTATACGAACGTACTTAAAGTCGTCTAACAATTAGTTCGGTATGGGAGTCTGCAGTCCGCAACAGAACACACTACTACACATGATCGCGTACATAAAACACGAACGCTTTCATTTGAAATTCTAAACTCCTCCGTGTGTGTATGTATACACAAAAAACCCCCCTACACAATTGTACTAAGCACTCTGACGGTTATAGGGTGACGACGTCGAGCGCCCGCCAATGTATACCAAATTTGACCAAGAAGAAGTCTGCACCCTTTGTAAAACAGGTACTCAATCCGTCAAGTTTCTACGTTTGTTCTCGTATTAGATTATACCGGTTTGTTCGAAAGAATTCAACTTATCAACTTAGCATTTTATGAATTTATTCTCCAAATAAATTAGGATTGTTTCTCAGAGGCCTACAAACAGCAAAGTGAAGTACTTTGTCCTACCAAGTGAAAAGTTCGATTTTGGCTCCCAGTTTACATATCGATTGTTGCTCGGGAGCATTTATTCTCTTGTCGGAGCGGTGTTGGGGAGTTTTTAGTAGCGGGCATACTAGTTCTACTGTACTAGCGGCCCGACTCTAAGAGTGAGCTACAATTGCGCTTCTGGTTCGGTTGATTTCAGTCATGCATGCACATACACTATGTGCGTTCCTATCATGTCCTGTGAAGCCGGCAGTGACTTGAAAGTGACTACCGATCCTGGCGTGGCGAATTCTCCCATCGGGGTATTTTAAAACAGCCCCAATATGCACACATCTATTCGTTATGGAGATAGTTAAGGCATCAATAGGCATCCTCACCATGGTACACAATTAACATGCTCTTGCGATTGAATTCGCACGACAGACTTCACGTGGGCGTCGACCTCTGATAGTAGTGCACAGCAGGCCTTCGACAGGAAAAATTGCTGGTATGTATGTAGTCGTATGCTTTCATTGTGGTTCATACATGCAAGCGTTCGGGAAAATGTATGTTCCCGCGGTTGCCGTGATGGGCGTTCAGGATAAATGTTGAAATAATTTACCTGGATATACAGTGATATAATATTAGGGTTTAAGGGTATAATCATACAACCAACCACGTACTACGGGTTGTTTCTCTGACGGTTGTTGTTTCGTTGAAAGTTTAGTGCATGCTCACTCGCTATTGCAACCTTAGCAAGCCTATGTATCGTATCGTACATTCCTGGAAGTCTGATTATTGAACTGAATCCGACTAACCCGACTTGTCCCATTTGTCGGGCTTTAACAGTTGTTGCGGCAGGTTAGTGTGTGACGGCTGTTCTCTGCATCGCCGATTCCTTCCATTGTATGGGATCATGGAAGCTGTGCGAGTGTGTGATGTGTGCGAATACACGAACAAGGCCGACCAGGCGCTGGGTACGATAATCCGGCAAAATTCGTCTTATATGGCAACCCAGGCGAGGAAAGACTTGGGTGTAGATGGTTCTAACAGCGACCCTTCCCCAGAGGATGTGCCCTCCTCTTCTCCGCAGTAGGATTAACGTACTAAAGTTGCTAGTTTAAGGGTGACAGTGCGCACTTGGTCATTTCTAGTGTGTACGTATAATTGCCTGGACAGTCTGAACACACCGCGAGTCCATATATTGCTACGGTATGGTACCACCATGAGCCGATCGTTATTCTACTCAGAGCTAGAGACTTGTCCTACGGCGGTTTCATTTGGGGTGCGTGTTTCTCCGCTCGTCGTGCCCAATCCTCCCTTTCGCTACGTCTCTACTTCTTCTTCTTGTGTTTACCTTTCTTTTTGCATGACTTGCAATAATAGTTCTCAATCGAGTTGACCTCCGTCTGGGTAAGGCCGACGCAGTGGAAATGGAACCAGGAATCGCACGCTTCACAACAAATCATATCGTGCGTATCGACCGCCGGACACTTAACGCAGTTGTACGCGATATCGATGGGGGGTAAAGGCGGTGGTTCAGGCGCTGCAACTGGCACTTCTAGCTTAGCGTCTGTGCAAAAGTCCAGGAGTATCGATCGAATATAGTTTGTCAGTAATCAACAAACAAGAGCGTTTTACAAGGACAAGAGACTTTCTGGTCACATATTGTGACTCATGACGAACGCTCCTTAGGGTACAAAGTGACTTGTAACGAACTTCGATTGTGCCAAAATTCACAATGTATTGGAACAGTTTAGTGGTATTCATACGGATGTGTTGAATTACACACTTGACACCGTATTAAAATCAGTTGAAACGAAATTTGGAATGCAATTGATTTTCACTCCATACTCATCTGTCCAAGATACTTCAGTGCTAGAGTCAAACTTTACGCATAGTACATTGGTGCCAAGCACACCTTTCCTTGTGTTCCTTATACGTAACGTACCTGTACTCAAGAGCTGTACTTATATGATTTAGCATAATCGTCACATGTATAGGTGTCACTGTGAATACTTACATAATAATAAATAGTAATATATAATAAAATAAAAATAAAATAATAATACAAACAATTATAAAAATGTAATAATATATAGACAGATAAGATAGATAGATATATGGATAGATAGCTAGATAGATAGATGGATCAATAGATGGATGTATAGATAGATAGATAGATAGATAAATAGATGGATGGATGGATCAATAGATAGATACATAAATAAATAGATAGTTAGATGGATAGACAGATGGATCAGTAGATAGATAGATAGATGGATAGGTAGATAGATAGATAGGTAGATAGATAGATACGATAGAATAGATACGATAGAAAGATAGGTAGATAGATTAATTATTCATATCCTGGACGTACCTGGACGTGAAATCTTCAGTTTGATCGACAAGTGTTTCGCCGTCGGTGGATTATCATCGAATGTGGGCGAGGCGTGTGGCGAAACGGACCGAGAATATGTGCGCTCTCTCTTGCGTTTCTTGTCCTTTTTATCCTTCTTCTCCTTCGAAAATAAAAATGAATATAAGTGTATCAATATGTGTAAAGATATATGTCTAACTGAATACGTACGTGTCATATAAAGTTGCTGTGAACATTAAGTAGTGAATTGTTGCTTCAAGAGTGAGATGACAGGCCTATGGACCAGCTTATAGCTCTGTTTAACATTGCTGAACTGTGTTGATATAATCACGCTCATGCACATACTAGGGCTATTTCTATGATGCATATTTATTGGTACGGAACGCTTACAATACTTTTGCAGTTGACATCACGCGATCTATACATGCCATTAACTTGTCTCGACGTACCGGTGTGCTATTAAGCCACTCAAAACAGGAACTGCTATACATTTAAATTCATATATTTGTACGGAACGTGCATAGCAGTACCAAAATCATAAGCAATTTCGGCTTTCTTCCTAATATTATCTAGGTATTGTTTGAAACATTTACAGCTCAGTCGACACTGTGCAGGTATAATACGCACAAGTTATCTCTGAAACAATGCGTACCTTTTTCTTCTTCTTCGACTTGTCCTTCTCTTCTCCACGTGGCGCTATAATCAGGTCAGCTAGATATAAAAAGACAGACCGATAAGTGAAGTAATTCTCAACATCATTCAAAGGAGACGTATATGTATGTCATTTTTGATGGAAAATCGAGTATAATTGTGCTCCGATATTAGAAGAGCCATTACGGTAAGATTGTCGGAAATCTATTTTAAAATTGATATATAGTTATAGTAATTTGGCTGCGATTACACCAAAAATCACAGTAAAAATATCTGCGAACCTCCCTGTTTTACCATTCACGACGGCTCCCTGTTTTACCACATCAGAGCTTGCTATAAACCTCTAATGTCAATAAATAGGAAGCAGGTTACTAAAATTCTATGACAGAAAGTTAGATGTATTCTTGCTATACATTTCTCATGGCAGTGAGTAGGTGCTCAATATCAACATCTCCGTATGATGAAATCAACCGGAACTTGCTATACATCCGTCATGGCAATAAGTAGGTGTTTGAAATCAACATCCCGTGAGAGTACGCTAAGTAGGTGCTAAATATGAACCATTCGGGATAGTTGGTATTGAGACGTGTCAAACACATACCGAACGTCATATTCTCTTCGTCATCGTTATCAAAACCCCCTCCACTCGTTGGCGCCGGATCGTCCGACCTTAAGTTCAAGAACCAACCAGAGTGATAGATAATTAAATGAAAAACATATCAAGCAGGGATCCATCCTTTCAAAGACAAACCAGCGTTAAGAAACAAAGTTGACAAAACCAACCCAAAAAAAAATTAAGTGTCAGAAGACGAAATACCATCGAAATGCAAGTCAAGCAGCCTCCCACACCATACAACGCCGAGAGGCGTAGTATCCATACCTAGCTTTCTCCTCCTTCGCAGCAACAGTAGAGTGTTTGCTTCCTTTATCCCTCTTTGACGCCGCCTTGGTCGCCTTCGAATCGCGGTCTCTACCATGCGCAGAAAGATCACCTGCGCTAACATCCCTGTCCTTGTCCTTATCCTTGTCCTTTGTGGGCTCGCTCGTCTTTAGCACAACCTTCTTGGCCCCCACAACAAACAGTGGCCTCGAACCAGATCCGGGTATCGACGGCTGCCTCTCCATTGCGGTCGGCGACTTGGCACTCACACTCACTCTGTCGCGATCCTTGTCCTTGCTATTCTTAGCCTTGGAGCTCTTGGACTCGGGAATATCGGACGTACTGGTCCGCGCCTTGCCATCACCTGTACCTGACTTCTCGACGGGAAGGGTCACATACGTCGCTGATGAGCGCCGAGATCGCCCCCTCAGACTTGGCGTCTCAGAACCCGTCTCCATAGTCACTGGCGGAGACGAAATGGCATCCTTGTACTTATCTCTATGTTTGTCTTTGTTCCTATCCTTACTATCCTTATCCTTATCTTTATCCTTCTCCCTATCCCTACCTTTCTCCCTGTCCGCGCTCGGTTCCTTGCCGGCGACCCTCTCTAACGTTCTAGAGCTGGGCCGTATTCTAATTTTCCCGTCTTTGACTATACTCTTACTACTACCGCTAACACCGCTACTACCTCCCTTCGATACCTTGTGTCGCGTTCCGCTGTTTTTGTCTCGAGTAGTCTCACCACTCACCGGGCGAGGACTCGTGCTAGGAATCTTCGGACTTTCGCGAACATTATCGATCTTCGGGCTGTGATGCGGCCGAGACGCTTTGTTCGAGAGCCGTGAGCTGCTATCTGGCCTAGGACTGGGTGACCGTGATCGGTGTTTCTTCCTGTGGGTACCAACCGGGTTGGGCGATAGAGACCCGCCTCGTTTCAGCGACAGTTCCGAGGTTTCGTTGCCATGGTCTGTGTGCTTGCGTTTCCTATTCGGACTACTGCCGCTGGACTTGCCATCCCCGCCGTCACTGCGTTTCAGTTTGATACTATGTTCCGCACTTCTCTCCGACTTACCACCGCCCACAGCGAGCTTCATCTTCTTCGGCGCCTGCGACGAGGTTTCCGAAGCCCTACTCTCTTCCTGCCTTTTAGACGGTTCTGGAGGACTTAAAGGCCTTTTCTTGGGCGATTCTACGCCCATTTTGCTACCCAGTTTGACCTTTAGCGGTCCAGCATCAGCCGGACTCAGCGGTCTTTTCCGAGGAGACTCACCGCCGGCTTTGCCAACGAGTTTCACTTTCAGTGACAGACCATCTCGGTCCTTCTCTCGCTCTTTCTCCTTCCCACTCTCCCTGCTTTTATCCTTCTCTTTATCCCGGTCCCTATCTTCGTGCTTGTCCATCTCTCCATCAGGACCTCTCGAGCCGGTTTTCAACCTGATCTTTGTCGGGCCCTTATACATATCCTTCTGGTGCACCTGAGGGGAAGTGGTGCCACCCACCGCCGCACTCAGCGCTGCACCAAACGAGCTTTTCTCCTTCGCAGGCTTGTCTCGCTTCTTAGCCTTATCGCCTGCTTCAGAATCTCTGCTGCTGCTGAAGAATTTGGGTACTCCGATGGTAACCGACGGGGATTTATGGCCCTCGGTGCCCTCTTTTTGCGGGGATGCGAGTCCAGGCTTAACCCCTCTTTCCTTGTCTCTGTCTCTGTGACGTTTGTCTGCACGGTCTTTATCCCTGTCCTTGTCTCGACTCTTCTCCCTGCTTCTATCACGCGATCGGTCTCTGGACCTTTCTCCGCTCGATTCTTTACCGTCGTCATTGCCAGGCTCCTTGACATTTAATGTAATCACGCTGTCGCTCTTATACTTGTTCTCACGGTGCGAAACTTTTTTCTCGCGCCTCTTTGTATTTGTATCTCTATCTTTCTTGGATGGTGAGTGGGGTGGAATCGGGCTGCCACCGGCATTGGACCTTAGCGGAGATTTCGAAGGCGACCGGGATAGTCGCTTCTCGCGGCGGTGGGGGCTTACTTTCCGGCCTCGCTTGCCCTCATCCTTTCCATTTTCATGCGTGCTTCGCACATGGACTCTGAGCAAGTCCTTGTCTTCCGCACCATCTTCAACCATTGCTTGCTTGCCCGACACCACTGCCGAGCTGGGAGAGGGACTTGGTGCTGGGGTTGTCTTGATCTTCCTATTCAGAGACGGACGCGGGCTGCTCTTCTTCTCTTTGATGTCCTTCGACTTATTACTCGTTCCGGAGAGTGCTATAGCATCACTGCCATCGGGACGGATGGGTAGCCGTTTGTCTTTATCCTTGGATCTACTACCAGTCTTCGTGGGTGATCCGCTGCGCTTACTTTTGGCGCTCTTATCGTTCGTACTGACGCCGCTCATACTTCGCCCTCTATCCCTATCCTTATCCCTATCTTTATCTCTCTCCTTATCCTTGTCTCTGTTCCTATGCTTGCGGTCCTTACCCGAAACACCACCAACACCCAACTTGCCGCCCTTCTTCGTACCCGCCGGACTATCACCCACTGCATACGCCACGTCATCAGGATCGCTCTTTATCCTCGTCAAATGTACTACCGCACTACCCCCGTCCTTTCGCACAGTCGAAGCTGCCGGGATCTCCGGGCTTCGGGTTTTGTGTACGGGCTGTATATGCCCTTCCAGCGTAGGGGTGGAGTCCATTTGACTGGTATTCTGCACGGCTGGCAAGCCCTCCCAGCCCTTCTCTTTATCACCCAAGGGTTTATCCTTGATACCTCGCTTGCTATCGCCCACAGCCAATTTCTTTGGTCGCAGAGGGGCGTCCGAGCCATCGCTCCAGTTATCGTCGTCATCGCCAGTCTCGCTCTGCCCGAACGAGCTATCCTTAGCCGTCACAGATCGCCTCCTGAACGACCCCGTTCCTGCGTGTCCATTCTCGCCCTTGTGCACACCCCCCGAACCTGAATCGGCCCGCCTATTCCTACCACTGGGCGGTCTATCGCCCCGTCCCTGCTTCTCGGAATCCCACACACTCTGCTTCACCCCGACGTTGATCACGGGATCCACATTCTCCTCGTCACTACTGGCGCTCAGTTCCTCCGAGTCTTCACCGCTCAGTTCGGGCGGCGTGGTGGGTACCAGAAGCAGGTTGCTCGTACCCTGCCCTTGCCAACCGCCGGAATATCTACCCGGTGCGCCTATACCATTGCCGCCCAGACGGTTGTTTCCAGTCTCCACGGCACTCCGGATGGGTCCATCATACGAGATGCGGCGCTGGAAGTCCTCGTCGTCCGAGAAACTCAGCACTTCTACAGCCCCGTTGTTGGGCTGGTTGGTAGTGTGGTGGCTGCCCATGTTGTTCATCATACGCTGCTGCTGCATCTCAGCCAACCCCCCATTCGTCTGGCCCGCGCCAATAGTGCCCAGGGACGGCTCGTTGCTGAAGGGATCGTCATGAAACACATCTCGGCCCTCCAATCCATCCCCGCCTTGTCTTGTGCGTACACTCACAGCGCCCGCCTCAGCTCCCTCTGTGGCATCCCCTTCGGTTGAAGTCTTGGTAGAAGCTTTTTCGATGCTACTGACATCCACGGTTGCTTGTTCGGCTGGTTTCTCGACAATGGTAGGGAAAGGCGGCAGCCAGTTGGGGATGGTTTCCCCTATCTCTGCTATGGTGCGGAACTTGATACCGTAGATGGTGTCCTCGACTTCGGATTCGTTGTCGTCGCCCTCTATCTCGTCATCATCGTCATCATCGCCAGACTCTTCGTCCTCACTAACAGGTAATGCTGGGGACACGAAGAAAGGGAAAATTTGGTATATTTTATCAATGACATAGCCCGTTGATACATGCGGATTTGTACGTCGTGATATGCTTAGAAAATGCAAAGGTTGGCGAACAGGAGTTCGAAGAAATAAAGCACATGGCCAATAAGTCAAGTTTGGAGCAAAATAGTAGAAAATGCGAGACATACTATACGCTATTTTATCGCAGGTATTTGCTGTCAATTTTTCTTTAGTGTCATCTGTGTTACTCATCGCGCGGATATACTGATCTAGATGCGCCCGTAGTTTAATAGGCATACAAATCGGCAAGTTTGCGATAAAAAGGCAACGTGCAAGCACCTAAAACCAACGGTTACATCGTCCTATGTCGTGTACATCAGGAGACATGGTATGTTACTATAAATAATAGTAGAATGGATACATAGTTTGAAAATATACTTGTACATACTACCCACCTAGCCAGCAGCAAATCACTGAACTGCTGCGTTACAGCATCATGTGCTATACTAATCACAACACCCAGAAAACCTGAACCCTCAAAATCTGCAATTTCTACGTTGCCGGGTGAAAATTACAAACATAAACGCCATCGAATGCAGCATATCGAGCACAGCTTGCGAGCGTTATCCGCAGATCCAACATCCCAGAACAGCTGTAGTTCACACCGAACGATCATCATAAATGCGGGTTTACTACCACAACTTACCACTATCGCCTGTTTGTGCCGGGACTTTGTCTGTTGTGATGTCGGCCTGGACAGTGCCGTCTTGCTGATCGTTTGGCGGCTGAATTGCCGCAGCCGCTCCATCAGGCTTGGTAGTCGATCTGGGCGGAGCGTCGACACTCTCAGTAGAACTAGACACTGTATGAACATCATAGTCATGCACTTTTAAGTATATCTAAAACAAACATGCCACATACGCTGCTGCCTGCCATTTGTAGATGCTTACGCAGCATGATAGTCGTATGTCCATGCATGTGCTTAATGCATGTACCATGATTAGAAAACACACTGGATTTTACTGATAGCAGACACAGGCTTGTAAGCATATAACTATACAAATTTACC